ATGTCTGCAAAAGCCTCACTGGGGCATGGTAGGCTGAAACGGAGCCATGGGGGTGTGTGGGAGAGCCACGGTGGGGACATCATGCTACCGTTGGGCCTCCAAGCCCAGCAGGTTGCCTGGGGGCTGGAGCAGCCACTTGCAGCCTCCCACCCCGCCTGCCCACCCAGCTGGGGGTGTTTGTTTTGTGGTTTTTTTTTCTTTGCTGTGTGGTTGGACTCGATGATCTCAGAGGTCCCTTCCAACCACCGAGATTCTGTGATTCTGTGAAGTGTGTGTGTGTGCATGACTGTGTGTGCATGTGCGTGCACAAATGTGTGGATGTATGTGTGGGTGTGCGCACAGCTCATCCTCTCGTGGGTGAAATCGGGTGAAATCAGACATCCTCCACGTGCTCCAGAGCCCTCCTGTAGCACTTCTCCAGCACGACCAGGCAGGGAGGTGTGGGGTCTGCAGCAGGGACAGCATCCCTGTCCCTAAATCCGGGCTGCCAGTGTGTGGCTCCCACTGCTCCTGTTTGTCCTGCATCCCTCTGCCAGGGGGTGGGAGGTCAAACTGCCCCTCTGTGGGGCTGAAAGGTGAAGGAGAGCCCGGGCATCCTTCCTCACCCCATGGGGGGACAGGGACTGCCATCCTCCCCGCATCCCGGGATGCTTTCCTAATCGTGCCTTTCTCTTTGACTTGCAGGTGGAGATTTCTTGCCCTGGGAGTGAGGTGAATGAATGGGGCTTCGTTAGACAAAGGGTCCCAGTCAGCATTTCAGGCCCTGAGACCCGTCCAGGGACTTTTCATTCTTTGTCTGCAAAGGGCTCCGGTGCCGTTTCCATGAGAGAGATGCTGGTGGGAGCCGGTGCCGCCGAGCGGAGAGGCGAGGGAGAGGAGCTGCGTCAGCCGATCGGCTTTCAAATCACCTTCAAACCCTCGATTTCCTTAACATGATCCCTCCATCAGCCCAGTCTCCAGGGCACGGCCGGGGGGCTTTGCTGGGAGGAGAATAAACCAGGGACAGTGGTGACAGCCAGTGCTGGAAAACCACCCCCACACTGTGCACAGCCCCGGGAGGGGGGCTCAAAATCCCTCCATCAGCCCAGTCTCCAGGGCACGGCTGGGGGGCTTTGCTGGGAGGAGAATAAACCGGGGACGGCGGTGACAGCCAGCGCTGGAGAAACCCCCCCACACTGTGCACAGCCCCGGGGAGGGGGCTCAAAACCCACCCGTGCTGCCTTCCCTCACCCTCCTGGACTTTTTAGGGTTGGGAAATATCTTTGCACGGCCTCACCCTGCAGCCTGAGTTTTGGGACACCCGTCTGCTCCCCCCGGTGCACCCCAGGAGCCACCTCCAGCCTGGAGGGGGAGAAACCCCCACCTTGGAGCATCCCTGGATCCGGCGAGCAGCTCCCCCGCGGCGCCGGCTGCCGGGGAAGGGATGAAGACGCTATGGCCAAATTATTGGTAAAACTCCAGCGGTATTTTCGGCGGAAGCCCGTGCGGTTCTTCACGCTGCTGGCTCTCTACCTGGCGGCCGGCAGCTTGGTTTTCCTCCACTCGGGCTTCTCCGGGGAACCCACGGTGACGGGGACACAGCGTGGCCCCGGGGCGGGCGAGGGGCCGGGACTGCCCTACCTGGGGGTGATGCAGCTGAGCCGCGGCTTCAAGGCGGCGGCGACGATGCCGGATGGGGGACGGCGCCACGGCCCCTGGTTCAAAAGTACCTCCAAAGAACCAGCGGAGAGGGGTAAAGCTGGAGACTACGGCAGCACCCGCAGCAGGGCACTCAGGGCCAGGAGCGGCCGCGAGAAGGAGGAGGATAGAGGTACAGGCTGGGGGGACACACGCGTCCGGGTGGGGGTCCCTCCTTTTGGCCTCTCCCAGGGAAAGCCTTGTGTGCTGGGGCAGTGGTCTCCGAGCTGGTTTGGTCGTGCACCTCCACCAGGAACAAATTCCTGAGCATGCACCCCCAGTAAATGTGTATTTATGTACTTATAAACCGTTTGCATGTGCTGCTGGAGCAGAGATTTTCTTCCTGCACCCCAACAGACTGCCCTGCCCATCCCCTGGGGTGTAGCTTTGGAGACTGCTGGTCCAGAGGGTGTTCCCAGAAAGATCATCTCCTCCCTCCTTCCCCACCTTCCTCTCTCCCCAGGTGCCACTAATCCACTTTCATTTTTCCACTTTCACTCTTTCCCACTTGTGCACAGCCGAGCTCTGTGTCGTGCCTTGTTGGGACAGGCGCTTTTGGGGGTGCGGGCCGGGGAGAGGCACCTCTACCAGGAACAAATTCCTGAGCATGCACCCCCAGTAAATGTGTATTTATGTGCTTATAAACCGTTTGCATGTGCTGCTGGAGCACTAAGATTTTCTTCCTGCACCCCAACAGACTGCCCTGTTCATCCCCTGGGGTGTAGCTTTGGAGACTGCTGGTCCAGAGGGTGTTCCCAGAAAGATCTTCTCCTCCCTCCTTCCCCACCTTCCTCCCTCCCCAGGTGCCACTAATCCACTTTCATTTTTCCACTTTCACTCTTTCCCACTTGTGCATCGCCTTGTCGCCATGTCGTGCCTTTTTGGGACAGGCGCTTTTGGGGGTGTGGGCTGGGGAGAGGCAGCACCCCGTCTTCATCCCACCCTTTGGCTGCGCCACGGGCCAAATTCCCTTTTCATTCTGTTGGCCCCAATGAACACCAAAACCCAGATTTGTGGCCGGTTGTTTGCGTTGCCGGGGTGGCAGCGATTGCCCCGCAGGCAAGGCTGGGGTTTGGCTTTTCAAGGCAGGAGATCCCTGCCTGGCTGCTGCCTGGGGTGCCTGGTGTATTGTCAAGTGGGACCATTATTAATGAACAAGGATAAGCGAATGTAGTGGCTCTCATTGATTTTTAAAATGTCATCTATTTATCCTGAAGGCAGGGTAGAGATCCTGCGTGCAGACAGAGACGCGCGCTCGCTCTGAGTTTGGGTGGCTGAGGGCTGTGCCCACCAGGGCTTTTTGGGTTATTCAGCTCATCGCCTCCCTCACTGTAACCCACAAGCACCCAGTGCCATCAAACCTCACCCAAATGCACCCCACGAGCCGCGGCTTCAAGGCGGCGGCGACGATGCCGGATGGGGGACGGCGCCACGGCCCCTGGTTCAAAAGTACCTCCAAAGAACCGGTGGAGAGGGCTAAAGCCGGAGACTACGGCAGCACCCGCAGCAGGGCGCTCAGGGCCAGGAGCGGCCGCGAGAAGGAGGAGGATAGAGGTACAGGCTGGGGGGACACACGCGTCCGGGTGGGGGTCCCTCCTTTTGGCCTCTCCCAGGGAAAGCCTTGTGTGCTGGGGCAGTGGTCTCCGAGCTGGTTTGGTCGTGCACCTCCACCAGGAACAAATTCCTGAGCATGCACCCCCAGTAAATGTGTATTTATGTACTTATAAACCGTTTGCATGTGCTGCTGGAGCAGAGATTTTCTTCCTGCACCCCAACAGACTGCCCTGCCCATCCCCTGGGGTGTAGCTTTGGAGACTGCTGGTCCAGAGGGTGTTCCCAGAAAGATCATCTCCTCCCTCCTTCCCCACCTTCCTCTCTCCCCAGGTGCCACTAATCCACTTTCATTTTTCCACTTTCACTCTTTCCCACTTGTGCACAGCCGAGCTCCGTGTCATGCCTTGTTGGGACAGGCATTGGGACAGGCGCTTTTGGGGGTGCGGGCCGGGGAGAGGCACCTCTACCAGGAACAAATTCCTGAGCATGCACCCCCAGTAAATGTGTATTTATGTGCTTATAAACCGTTTGCATGTGCTGCTGGAGCACTAAGATTTTCTTCCTGCACCCCAACAGACTGCCCTGTTCATCCCCTGGGGTGTAGCTTTGGAGACTGCTGGTCCAGAGGGTGTTCCCAGAAAGATCTTCTCCTCCCTCCTTCCCCACCTTCCTCCCTCCCCAGGTGCCACTAATCCACTTTCATTTTTCCACTTTCACTCTTTCCCACTTGTGCATCGCCTTGTCGCCATGTCGTGCCTTTTTGGGACAGGCGCTTTTGGGGGTGTGGGCTGGGGAGAGGCAGCACCCCGTCTTCATCCCACCCTTTGGCTGCGCCACGGGCCAAATTCCCTTTTCATTCTGTTGGCCCCAATGAACACCAAAACCCAGATTTGTGGCCGGTTGTTTGCGTTGCCGGGGTGGCAGCGATTGCCCCGCAGGCAAGGCTGGGGTTTGGCTTTTCAAGGCAGGAGATCCCTGCCTGGCTGCTGCCTGGGGTGCCTGGTGTATTGTCAAGTGGGACCATTATTAATGAACAAGGATAAGCGAATGTAGTGGCTCTCATTGATTTTTAAAATGTCATCTATTTATCCTGAAGGCAGGGTAGAGATCCTGCGTGCAGACAGAGACGCGCGCTCGCTCTGAGTTTGGGTGGCTGAGGGCTGTGCCCACCAGGGCTTTTTGGGTTATTCAGCTCATCGCCTCCCTCACTGTCACCCACAAGCACCCAGTGCCATCAAACCTCACCCAAATGCACCCCACATCCCCCCTCTGCCGGCTCTGCAGCCCCCCCAGCGAAGGAGCATCTTGCACCTTGAGCTGCTGTGGAAGCTGTTATGATTTCTTGTCATTAATAAGTGGGCTGGAGAGAAGGAGCAATCGAGTTTATTGCTCCAGCACCACACAGCAGTGTGGTGGGTGCCCGGGCATTCCGGGCAGGAGCTGGAGCATCAGCCAGTTGAGGAAATTCAGAAGGGAATAGGGAGTGGAAACTACTGGAGAGGTGTTGGGGTGCTGCTGGGCTCTTCTCTGCCTGACATTGCTCGTTCCCTTCTCCTGATCCTCAGGGTGGGTGAAATCTCTGCTGGGGGGGAAGCGTGTCCATGGGACCCCCCGGTGCCCATGAAAGGCTGCTCTGTGTGAGCAAACCTGTGCTCCAAAGCTGGGGGGCTTGGCACTGCATCCCGCCCCACTGCATCACACTGGGAGCTGCAGCTCCCCTGATGGAGCAGGGGGTGTGAGGGCACGGCTGGGGGGCTTTGCTGGGAGGAGAATAAACCGGGGACGGCGGTGACAGCCAGCGCTGGAGAAACCCCCCCACACTGTGCACAGCCCCGGGGAGGGGGCTCAAAACCCACCCGTGCTGCCTTCCCTCACCCTCCTGGACTTTTTAGGGTTGGGAAATATCTTTGCACGGCCTCACCCTGCAGCCTGAGTTTTGGGACACCCGTCTGCTCCCCCCGGTGCACCCCAGGAGCCACCTCCAGCCTGGAGGGGGAGAAACCCCCACCTTGGAGCATCCCTGGATCCGGCGAGCAGCTCCCCCGCGGCGCCGGCTGCCGGGGAAGGGATGAAGACGCTATGGCCAAATTATTGGTAAAACTCCAGCGGTATTTTCGGCGGAAGCCCGTGCGGTTCTTCACGCTGCTGGCTCTCTACCTGGCGGCCGGCAGCTTGGTTTTCCTCCACTCGGGCTTCTCCGGGGAACCCACGGTGACGGGGACACAGCGTGGCCCCGGGGCGGGCGAGGGGCCGGGACTGCCCTACCTGGGGGTGATGCAGCTGAGCCGCGGCTTCAAGGCGGCGGCGACGATGCCGGATGGGGGACGGCGCCACGGCCCCTGGTTCAAAAGTACCTCCAAAGAACCGGTGGAGAGGGCTAAAGCCGGAGACTACGGCAGCACCCGCAGCAGGGCGCTCAGGGCCAGGAGCGGCCGCGAGAAGGAGGAGGATAGAGGTACAGGCTGGGGGGACACACGCGTCCGGGTGGGGGTCCCTCCTTTTGGCCTCTCCCAGGGAAAGCCTTGTGTGCTGGGGCAGTGGTCTCCGAGCTGGTTTGGTCGTGCACCTCCACCAGGAACAAATTCCTGAGCATGCACCCCCAGTAAATGTGTATTTATGTACTTATAAACCGTTTGCATGTGCTGCTGGAGCAGAGATTTTCTTCCTGCACCCCAACAGACTGCCCTGCCCATCCCCTGGGGTGTAGCTTTGGAGACTGCTGGTCCAGAGGGTGTTCCCAGAAAGATCATCTCCTCCCTCCTTCCCCACCTTCCTCTCTCCCCAGGTGCCACTAATCCACTTTCATTTTTCCACTTTCACTCTTTCCCACTTGTGCACAGCCGAGCTCCGTGTCATGCCTTGTTGGGACAGGCACTTTTGGGGGTGTGGGCTGGGGAGAGGCAGCACCCCGTCTTCATCCCACCCTTTGGCTGCGCCACGGGCCAAATTCCCTTTTCATTCTGTTGGCCCCAATGAACAAAAAACCCAGATTTGTGGCCGGTTGTTTGCGTTGCCGGGGTGGCAGCGATTGCCCCGCAGGCAAGGCTGGGGTTTGGCTTTTCAAGGCAGGAGATCCCTGCCTGGCTGCTGCCTGGGGTGCCTGGTGTATTGTCAAGTGGGACCATTATTAATGAACAAGGATAAGCGAATGTAGTGGCTCTCATTGATTTTTAAAATGTCATCTATTTATCCTGAAGGCAGGGTAGAGATCCTGCGTGCAGACAGAGACGCGCGCTCGCTCTGAGTTTGGGTGGCTGAGGGCTGTGCCCACCAGGGCTTTTTGGGTTATTCAGCTCATCGCCTCCCTCACTGTAACCCACAAGCACCCAGTGCCATCAAACCTCACCCAAATGCACCCCACGTCCCCTCTCTGCCAGCTCTGCAGCCCCCCCAGTGAAGGAGCATCTCGCACCTTGAGCTGCTGTGGAAGCTGTTGTGATTTCTTGTCATTAATAAGTGGGCTGGTGAGAAGGAGCAATCCAGTTTATTGCTCCAGCACCACAGAGCAGTGTGTTGGGTGCCCGGGCATTCCGGGCAGGAGCTGGAGCATCAGCCAGTTGAGGAAATTCAGAAGGGAATAGGGAGTGGAAACTACTGGAGAGGTGTTGGGGTGCTGCTGGGCTCTTCTCTGCCTGACATTGCTCGTTCCCTTCTCCTGATCCTCAGGGTGGGTGAAATCTCTGCTGGGGGGGGGATGTGTGTCCATGGGACCCCCCGGTGCCCATGAAAGGCTGCTCTGTGTGAGCAAACCTGTGCTCCAAAGCTGGGGGGCTTGGCACTGCATCCCGCCCCACTGCATCACACTGGGAGCTGCAGCTCCCCTGATGGAGCAGGGGGTGTGTGGCTCAGAGAGAAGATGGAACCCCCAACCCCCTGGGAAACAGGGGGTTTCACAGGGGTCACCGTGCTGAGCCAGACTTGGTCCCCCCAACCAGGTGTCTCCTGGGGCACAGGGGGCTCCCCCTTGGCCACCAGCCCCACGGCAGGTGTGTGCTCATGTTCACTCCGGGCAAGATGCACGGTCCAGGCTTGGAAGCAGGAGGCAAAATGGCATGTGGTGCTCAAGGGACTTTTTCCTGCTAAAAATGAGATGAAGAGGGGTTTCCCTGTCGTGTTGGCGTGCAGAGGGGTCTCCGGGAGCGTTCCTGAGGCGCTTGTGGCCGCGTTGCTCCATTAATGCAAATTGACGTTTAGCGAAGCCTCACCAGATGGTTCCCGAGCCCAAGCTGTCAGTCACCATCAGAACCCCAAGCAGCTCTCCCATCCCTGGCCATATGCAACGCGTCCTCCCCGATTAACCTCTGCTGGCACTGCCACCTCCCCCTGTGCCCAGCCACGGCAGGGGCTTGCGAGGGATGGGGAAGGGATGCTGGGCTGGGGCATCACCAGCTTTAGCTGCTCGTAGGTGGTTTGGGAATATCATCTTTCTCCTTTTTAATCTGGTGTGGGAAGGCTTGGCATGGGCAGGGGTTAATGGGAGCCAGCACAGACCTGGCAGCTGGAGGGGATGCAGTGCCACTGTGCAGGAGCGGCATCTCGGCAGCTTCCCGGGCAGGATGGCACGGAAAAAATTCTCCAATTTGAGAAATCCCCTGAGCCTGGTGTGCCCGACGTGCCCGTGGGGCTGGCAGAGCCTCGGGGGACGGGTGCTGAGCACCCACCTCGCTCCCCTGCTCCTTTCCAAAGCACCCGCTGCTTCCCCGGGCCGTCTGGCAGGAGCGGGCAGATTTTAATGGTGGTGGTAATTAAGCAGGGGACAGCTTAACAAGGCAGCTGTGGAGGCTTTGCCACGTGAAATCGACCCGGAGGGAATACTGCTCCTAAAATCAGCTCTGGTTTAGCTAGTGTGATGTGCGGCTCTGGCTTGCTGTGGGGCATCCCTCCTCCTTCTCCTCTTCCTCCTCTTCCTTCTCCTCCCTCTCCTGGCCAAAGTGGTGGAGCCCCCGGGTCAGGCCAGGGTGTGGGTTGAGGGCAGCCCCATCTGCCAGGGAATGGCTTTGGCTTGTCTGCATCCCCGCGCGAAGGCGCATCTCCTGCCTCAATTTTAGGGGCATTTTTGGATGGTGAAGCCAGGGAGAGAAAGCACCAGCCCCAGCCTGGCAACGCCCGGCATCGCTTCCTCATTCCCAGCCAGGAATCTTCTGACACTGGGGCAGTTGTCCCAGGGGTGGTCAGCATGGGCCATCCTTCCTGAAGCTGCTGCCACAGCTAACCACAAGCTCTTTTTCATCCTCACGTGGAGCATGTGAGGGAGTGAGGTGACCCAGACCGGTCCATTGTCCCCAGGCTGGTAAGACCCAGCCACTGGTCCTCAGGGCCACCATCCCCTTTCCCTGGGGCACCTGCGCCGGGTGACTGACCTGCACATCCTCCGCCAGAACACATTAATGGACACCTCGTTAGCTGATTACCAGATGGCTAATCCCACTGGCTCCTGGACCCCCCTGTCCTCCTCCAGCAGCAGTGGCAGTGAGGATGCTGAGCATCCCTGCACCAACGCCGCATCCCTGGGTTGGCAGCAGCACATCTTCCCCGCTGCAAATGCTCAGGTGGGAATAGGAGCAGGGCACTAACGAGCACATAAATGAGGGCACAAATGAGGAGACCAAGTGGGGACAGGACACTCGTCCCTATTGACAGCCCAGAGCCAACATGGAGCGTTGGTGATGGGCACACAGGCAAGGAGGTGGCGGTTTGTTTTCAGATCATTGGGAAAGGCTACATTTGTCAAATAGATGATTTCATCGTAACTATTTATTCAGCTCTATTCCCTGCCCACCAGCATCTTCATTTGCTCTCAGCACAGGCATCAGCCTTTATTTTGCCAAGTGTTAGTGCTCAGCAAATATCTTCTGCCTCCATGTCTGTGACTGGGGAAAATGAGCTGCTGGTTGAAGAAAAAATTGGTTTAAAGTGTGTTTTTCCAGTCTGCCCACCCCTATGCTCCTGGCGGGGCAGACTGAAGGGCATGGGTTGTTTTGCCACATAACTCATCTCTTTTTGGAGCCGCTTTGCTCAGTTTTGAGGGAAGGAAGAGGATGAAGAGGAGAAGCCTCGGTGCAGAGCCACAGCATCCTTTGTGCCCATGGTGTTTTTTGGGCTTTACCTACCTTTCCTTGCAGCGTTTGCAGGGGCATGTTGTACCCAGAGCATGTGTTTCTCAAGCAAATGAGTAGGATGCGTTGCTGTGCATCCCTATTTAGGGAAAAATCAAAAGATGGGGGTGGGAATGGGTGGGCTCAGCCCCGGCTGGTTCTTACCCCCCTCCTCCCTCTCCTCCACCCTTCTCCCAGCAAGATACATCGGCTGCTACGTGGACAACACTCGCCGGCGGACGCTGCGCGGCGTGTCCTTCTTTGACTACAAGAAGATGACAGTCTTCCGTTGCCAGGACAACTGTGCCGAACGGTAGGGTGGGAGACGGGCACCGCGTCTCCATCAATCCCCACACACCGCCAGCGTGTCTCTGCTCTCACAGTTCCCTGCCCTGGCTGCTCCCCTCCCCTTCCTCCCGCCTGCCTTCTTTTTTTTTTTCCTTTAGAATTATGTAATTTAGATTTTTTTTAATTTTTTTTTTAATTCACGGGTGTTTTCCAGGATCCCAGTTTCCTCCCCTCCCCGAAAAAGAGTCAGGGAGGATGATGGGCTCTATCCTCGTATAGGGCAGGGGGGTGTACGGGCTCCAATTCAATGCTGGGGGAGCCTTGAGCACTTCCATCCACCCAGGGCTGGCCCCACCAAAATGCTGTCCCTCCACCCAAACACCCTCCCCAGACCTTCCCAGCTGTCCAAGTGTATCCATGAGCAGCTGAGGAGACACGTGGATCTCTTGCTGCAGAAGTTTTCTCCTTTCCCCAGCGTTACAGGAAGGATGTGCCCCAAACGTGGTTGGGCGGGCAGCATTGCGGGCAGTTTGCTGCCCCCAAACTCCCCCGGAGCTGAAGCACCTGGGGATGATGCTGCAAAGTACCATCTCCCCACCGTAGGGCTCATCCTCCCCAGCAGAATGCTCAGCGTAGTGGAGAAGTGCCACGAGCTGAGCTGACTGCTGGGGTGCATCCTCAGTGGTGCTGACGTGGGGCTGACCCACACCAGAGCCCCCCTGCCGTGCCAGCAGCCCCACAGAGGGACTTACTGCTCTGGCACTGCCCTTCTCCGGCAGGTTTCCAGCTGCATTGGCACTTGGCAAGTGCCTACCTGTGCTGCAACCCTTCCCCTTTCAAATCCAACCTGTACTGAGCAGCACAGCTCTCGTGCTTTGAAGCTGAGCAAAGTCCCCATCACTTATTCCTGCTCCACCAAC